CAATGGAGTGAGGGCATCTGCTCAGATTTGACCCAATCTGGTTCAGCGTGTTGTGCGAACGCAACCAACGTGGAGCCAGACAGGCCCGCCCTGCCAGTTCATGTGCCTAAAAGCCAACATCCTTCTTGATTTCAGAGAGGAAGTGAGTGCTGGGATGCCGGTTTCTTGTTTCCCAAGCTGGCTCATAATTCTCCCTTCCCCCAGCTGCCAGCTGCCAGCTGCCGTTGTCCGTCGGCATTCCCAAATTAAGCTGCTTTCAGCCCAGCCAGACACGCACAGAGGCTGCGGAGGCACAGGGAGAAAGTCCAGCCGAAGCCGAGATGGACAATCGGACTCTTCAACTCATTCTGTTCTGCGCCCTCACCTTGCCAGGTAAGATGTCCTAAACTTATTGGATGCCTAGGATGAGGGCAGACAGCATACTAAAAAGCAGAGACATCACCCTGCCAACAAAAGGGCGTATAATGAAGGCCACGGTTTTCCCAGTGGCAACGTATGGCTGTGAAAGTTGGACCATAAGAAAGGCTGAGATAGGCCAAAGAATGGAGGCCTTTGAACTCTGGTGCTGGAGAAGACTCTTGCGAGTCCCCTGGACTGCAAGGCGATCAAACCGGTCAGTCCTAGAGGAGGTCAACCCCGACTGCTCTTGAGAAGGCCAGATCCTGAAGTTGAAACTCAAGTACTTTGGCCACCCAATGAGAAGGAAGGACTCACTGGAGAAGAGCCTCATTCTGGGAAAGATGGAGGGCAAGAGAAGAAGGGGACGCCAGAGAATGAGATGGCTGGATGGAGTCACTGAAGCAGGAGGCGTGAGCTTCAATGGACTCCAGAAGATGGTAGAAGACAGGAAGACCTGGAGGAACGTTGTCCATGGGGTTGCGATGGGTCGGACACGACTTCGCAACTAACAACAACAGGATGAGGGCACAGATAGAGCCCTAATGGAAAACAGGGCAACATTTTGCAAAATAATAATAAAAAGGAGTTTTAGAAAAGTCCTGCTTTTGGCCTTTCAGAAATGGCAGAGACAGTGTATTTAAGAGCCTCCAGTTTTGAAACCTGGAAATTTATCGATTATCTGGGAGAAGAAGAAAAAAATCAGGAAAATATCTTTTTTTCTTGCCTGCATTCGACTTCCAGGGTGTAATTTGGGATCGGAGATTCGGGAAGGGCTTAAGTTGAGATGTCTGTCGTTTTTCTTGAGTTGGTCATGTGCAAAAAATGTAGGGTATCCACAGGTGTCTTGCCGTTTCCTTCTAGAAAAATGTATTGCATCCCACCCAAAGTGGTGGGTGGATCGTGGTGGGCGGGCTCCCCTTTTACATGTTTGAGCTGCCCATCTTCTCCCATAATTTCTCCTCTGCTTACTGTCCCTCAAGCCCGACGACAACTGTTTTGTGCACTTGTGGCTGGTATGTCGGTGTGTCAGCTTGCCTTCAGAAGTTGTGGGTACTTCATCACTGGAGGTTTTTAAGAAGAGACTAGACAGCCACTCGTCTGAAATGAGCAGGGGGTTGGACTAGAAGACCTCCGAGGTCTCTTCCAGCTCTATTCCAAATTTCCACATTTATTGGACTTCAAATTTGTCTGGGGATTATGGGAATGCTTGGGAAATGCCAGTAGGATAGACTCTTTGAGCTACTTCATCTCTCTCTCTCTCTTTCTCTTCTCTCTCTTTCTCTCTCTCTTCTCTCTCTCTTTTCTCTCCTATCTCTCTTTCTTCTCTCTCTCTTCTCTCCTCTCTCTCTCCTCTCTCCTCTCTCCCCTCTCTCGTCTCTCTTCTCTCTCTCTCTTTCCTCTCCTCTCTCTCTTCTCTCTCTCTCCTCTCTCTCTTCTCTCTCTCCTCTCTCTCTCCTCTCTCTTCTCTCCTCTCTCTCCTCTTTCGCTTTCTCTTCTCTCTCTCTCTCTTCTCTCTCTCCTCTCTCCTCTCTCTCTCTCCTCTCTCTCTCTCTCTCTTTTCTCTCTCTCTCTCTTTCTCTCCTCTCTCTCTCATAGGAGTTGCTCAATGCAATTATGCTTTAGACTTTTGACTTGGCAACCTGTCTGGGGTGGGGGGAGAGGGGAACTGGGCCACCTGAGTAGTGGTCCAGCACGCGCGCACATGCAGCCCTTGCACAAGCAGCAGGCTGGCACGCATGCGATTGCCCGCCAGCCCACCGCACGCACGACTTGAACTGCGTGTGCTCATCCACTTGCACGGCCCAATTCCGAATAGGCCACGGCCCGTGAGAGGTTGGGGATCTCTGCTTTAGACACAACCAAAAAGACAAGGCGACACAGAAAGTTTGCAAGCAAACCACAGTTCGTTTCCTGCAACCAGGAATGTCCGTGGAGGCATGGAAGGGCACATTGTTGGCAAACGGGAAGCGTCCGGTTGAAACGGATCAAGTTGCAAGCAGGTGGAGAGGGCGCTCAATGCAGATCCATCGGGGAGAAAATCCATTCAGATCTCACAGAATAACAGAATAACAAAGTTGAAAGGGACTTTGGAGGCCATCCAGTCCAACCTCCTTCTCAAACAGGGAACCCTATACCAGGGGTAGGCAACCTTGGCTCTTTTATGACTGGTGGACTTCAACTCCCAGAATTCCTGAGCCAGCATGGCTCAGCTTGGAAACCTCTCCCTTTCCCCTCAGCGTGGCTGGCTCAGGAATTCTGGGAGTTGAAGTCCACGAGTCATAAAAGAGCCAAGGTTGCCTACCCCTGACCTATACCATCTCAGACAGATGGTTGTCCTTATGTCTGGAGCGTTGCTCAGATTTTCAAAAACAAACAAACATCACTTGGGATTCCAGGAACGGAGTTTTATGGAGATTGAACTTTTGCAAAAGTTGGTGGTCTTAAAACTCAACGCAGGAGATTAAGCCACACCTATGATTTTTTTTAATGCGCCTATTTATATCCTTTCACGACGCTGGTGTCAGTGCTGCTACCATCGGATGTTCTTGCTTTGACAACACATGGAGATGCAGCCTTATTCTTCCTTATGCTTTACTCTTAGAATTAGATGATACTGGGGGCGGGGAGGAGGTGGAGTGTGATGAGAGTTAGTTAGACATGACAATATTGTAATAGTGTGTGAATTCAGGGCTTTTGAAATAAGAGATGATAAGAAATGGCGGGTTGGAGAAGTGGAGGGAAAGCCTGCATTTCAAGCTAATTGGAGAATGTGATTTATGACTGTGAATTGGAGGAGGGAATTGTGCTTCGATGCTATGTGCTCAGGGGAGGGGAATTCAGATTTTGGCTTCAAGTATGTTCGTGCCGATGCTATGCTACTCCAATAAAGATTCTTTAAGGTAAACAATGCCTCGAAGTTCTTTGAAGAGTTTCATCTGTCGTTCTGGCTGGTTCCCCCCCCCACACACACACACTATCTCACTCAAGCCCACCTGCTAATTCCGATCACTTAATCCGAAGCACCTAAATAGAATAAGAGAATAGGAAGAAGCCCATGACCTTTTCCTAACATAAGCTCTATCTTTATTTTTGTGTTTCCTCTGCTTGCGGTTATGTCTGGTTTCTGATGGCCTACTCATATGTCTAATATCACAGCAACTATCTTGCACGTGTCAAAGCTCCTACTTTTAAAAGCTTAAATTACTCCATTTGATAATTGTTAAGCTCACTCCTTAAATTTCAGCTAGGATGATTAAGATTAAATGTACTGTGTTGTCACACCTATCTGAATAGCTTTAAAATAAATTGGTATTACCCCACCTTGAAAGGTTATCCTGAAACAATTTCTGATATAATTATTTTTTTATTTCTTACACTTAAAAAAACCCTCTTAAAAACCTCCAGTGACAGGAGCATCCACAACTTGTGGAGTTAAGCCGTTCCGCTGATTAATTGTTCTCAGTGTTAGGAAGTTTCTCCTTAGTTCTAGGTTGGATCCCTCCTTGATTAGTTTCCATCCATTATTTCTTGTCTTGCTTTCTCTGAGTGTGTGACTGTGTGTAAAATATGAGCGTCAGGGCAAAAGTATAGCACAATGGCTAAAAATTGAGTTACGAAACACAAATTCTCCATGTCAGACCTTCACTTAAACCCAAAACGTGATTTTTTTTTCTTTTAAAAAAGTGATTTTTCCCCCCTTGTGGATATGTCTAATTTCATGATAACAGAATGGAAGTGATTTGCTATTTTTTTCTTGGTTTTTCAGTTTTAATGTCCGGCTTATAGTCATACACCTCTTAAACCAGCCTAGCCCCTCTCTCCTTTATGAAATTAGGCCAAGTTCACGAGGTTTTAAGATCAACTACAAATCCATGGGGCTTCTGATCCATCAGGCAAATGCACTGTTTCCCAATCTTGGCAAGTTTAAGATGTGTAGATTTTAACTCCCAGAATTCCCCAGCCAGCATGTGTGGACTTCAACTCCCAGAATTCCTCAGCCAGCATGCAAGGACTTCAACTCTCAGAATTGTCCAACCATCATGTGTGGGACTTCAACTCCCAGAATTCCTCAGCCAGCCATGCTGGCTGGGGAATTCTGGGAGTCGAAGTCCACACATCTTCAAATTGCCAAGGTTGATCTGGACAGAAGGATTACTGTTAAGAACTTCTCCTTTTCAATCATCCCTCTAGAAAATAGAGAAAGCAATTGCTTCAAATCTTTGAGCTGTGTGGGCTTCAACTCCCAGAATTCCCCAGCCAGGATAATTGAAGTCCACCCAGCTTAAAGTTGCTAAGGCTGAGAAACATTGCTGTATAACCCTGCAGAAGGCCTGGCTGAGATGTTTTGTGCAGCATCTCTGTTCAACGCCTNCCCCTTCATGACTCATGAACTTCAACTCCCAGAATTCCTGAGCCAGCATGGGGGAACTAAGGCCCCTTCATGACTCGTGGACTTCAACTCCCAGAATTCCTGAGCCAGCATGGCTCAGCTTGGAAACCTCTCCCTTTCCCCTCAGCATGGCTGGCTCAGGAATTCTGGGAGTTGAAGTCCACGAGTCATAAAAGAGCCACGGTTGCCTACCCCTGAGTCTTAGGGAGTAATGTGTGGCTTGGATCGTTGTGACCAGCAGGTACCCTTGTCTTGTTGTCAGAGCTGGACGGATCATCGGCTGAAATGGGACCCGACCGAGTATGGAGGGATCAATGTGCTCCGTCTCCCGCCAGACATGTTGTGGCGGCCTGAAATCGTCCTGGAGAACAAGTCAGCCTCTCCTTAGCTCCAGAACTGCTAACTTCCCATGAAGTTTTGCATTTAGCAGCTATCTCCCCCCCTCATCTATTTCTCTCTCTCTCTCTCTCTCTCTCTCTCTCTCTCTCTCTCTCTCTCTCTCACACACACACACACACATTCCCGTGTAAGATTGAGAGTATCTTGGCGACGTTTCGACGAGGTCCCACTCATCATCTTCAGGCTGGGGTCTTCGGCTTCGTGCTGGTGCGAGCAAAGTGTAATCGGAGCTGCCGTCAATATATATATTGGTGTGTGTGTGTGGAGTGCTGGCTTAGTTGCTATAGGTGGGTTGGTTGGCTGTGTAGGGATTGGTTGGTTGGTTGGTTGGCTGTGTAGGGGTTATTGTTTGTTGATTGTTCAGCTGTTTCGTAACATCCTGAGTAGTTGAGGTGCTGGCTGTGTGCCCATTAGTCTTTTGTGTTATAACGACCTGGGTAATGGGTTGTGTGATTACATCCTGAGATCTAGTGTAGTGACATCCTGAGTTTTGTGTTGCAACATCCTGGGTAGTTGGCTGTGTTGTAACATCCTGGGCTTTAGCGTTGTAACCTCCTGAGTTCTGTGATGTGATGTCCAGAGCAGAAGGCTGTGATGTACCATGCAAAATCTGCCCAGCCACATACATTGGACAAACTAATAGGAGAATAAATGCCCGCATCGCAGAACACAAGAACGCAGTCAGAAAAGAAGAAAAAACTTCCTCCCTCTTCCAGCACCTTAAAACTACAGGACATGAAATTGATTTTGAAGGAATCAAACTAATCTCCAAAACTGAACACCACAACAAGAGAATAATTATGGAAGCCATCGAAATAGAAAAACACCCCCACAACATGAATAAACGTGACGATACCTCCTGCCTACCAGATATCTGGAAACTAGCCCTAATCAACAAACGGGTCCTAGCCACGAAAACTGACACCAGACCCAGAACAACACAGTACGCCACTACCATTCACCCTCACCAGACCCAAACCGAAGCCCAAACCCATCCCTCAGACGAAATGCAACCACCATCCAGAAGCCAAACCACGACGACATCACCAGCTGCTGCACCTCCCTCCGACCCCCACACAAAGCAAACGGACACACGCCATGAACACAGAGCTAGACCGCAAACTCGGAGCCAAACCAAAGCCCGGTATGCTACATCACAGCCTTCTGCTCTGGACATCACNCAAACCAAACCTAGGCTAATATTCAAATACAAGTAAACAAATATTAATATCTCTAACTCCAAACTCTAAACTTAAACAATCCATCTCCTCCGTGTTAATAAAAATTATTCATTTAATTAGTTCTTCAAATACCCAAAATCTTTACCATTTCAGCAATATAGTTTAACACCATCCCTTACTTATACAAAAAAAGAAAAGATTAATTATTTTTTATTCATTTTTATTCGCTTGTCGTACAGACAGCCAGATGTTTAGATTGGAGTGGGCATCTTTGCTCGCCTATTATTATTATTATTATTATTATTATTATTATTATTATTATTATTATTATTATTATTATTATTATTATTATTATTATTATTTTCCATTTATTTATTTTTAAAATTTTGTCAGATTATAGATAGGTGTTTCATTCCTGTGGAAGCCAGATTCTCTTCACAACCCTGTTACTCGCTTAACAATTAACCAGTGGAACAACCTGCCACCAGAACTTGTGAATGTTCCAACACTGGAAGTTTTTAAGAAGAGACTGGACAGCCATTTGTATAGGGTTTCCTGCCTGAGCAGGGGGTTGGACTAGATGACCTCCAAGGTCCCTTCCAACATTATTATTATTATTATTATTATTATTATTATTATTATTATTATTATTATTATTATTATTATTATTATTATGTGATTCGCTTAAGAACTGTGGCAAAGAAGGTCATAAAACGGGGCGAAATTCGCTTAACAACTGTCCTGCTTAGCAACCAAAGTTTTGGGCTTGTAAGGTCACTGGCCCTTGGCAAAGCCTGAGCAATCTTAAGAATCCAATCATGAAAACTCAAGCAGAGGCTTCTTAAAGGTACAGCACACTTTATTTTCAACCGAACTAAGTCTGGGTGGGCACACAATCTGAACACTGGCAGCAGTTGCGTCCAGAAGTGCCATACCTCAGAAAGTTAGTAGCATGGCTTTATAAGCTTTGTTGTTGTTGTTAGTTGCAAAGCCGTGTCCGACCCATCGCAACCCCACGGACAACGTTCCTCCAGGCCTTCCTGTCCTCTACCATCGTCTGGAGTCCATTGAAGCTCACGCCTACTGCTTCAGAGACTCCATCCAGCCACCTCCTTCTCTGTCGTCCCCCCTTCTTCTCTTGCCCTCCATCTTTCCCAGCATCAGGCTCTTCTCCAGTGAGTCCTTCCTGCTCATTAGGTGGCCAAAGTACTTGAGTTTCCACTTCAGGATCTGGCCTTCTCAAGAGCAGTCGGGGTTGATCTCCTCTAGGACTGACCGGTTTGATCACCTTGCAGTCCAGGGGACTTGCAGGAGTCTTCTCCAGCACCAGAGTTCAAAGGCCTCCATTCTTTGGCACTCAGCCTTTCTTATGGTCCAACTTTCACATCCATACATTGCAACTGGGAAAACCATGGCCTTGACTATACGTACTTTTATTGGCAGGGTGATGTCTCTGCTTTTTAGTATGCTGTCTAGATTTGCCATGGCTTTCCTCCCCAGGAGCAAGCGTCTTTTAATTTCTTGGCTGCAGTCCCCATCTGCGGTGATCTTGGAGCCCAGGAAGATAAAATCTGTCACTACCTCCATTTCTTCCCCATCTATTTGCCAGGAATTGAGAGGGCCGGATGCCATGATCTTGGTTTTCTTAAGGTTGAGTTTCAAGCCAACTTTTTCACTCTCCTTCTTCACCCGCATCAAGAGGCTCTTTAGTTCCTCTTCACTTTCTGCCATTAGAGTGGTATCCTCTGCATATCTTAGGTTGTTGATATTTCTCCCGGCAATCTTAATTCCAACTTTTGATTCATCTAGCCCTGCCTTTCTCATGATGTGCTCTGCATATAAGTTAAATAGGCAGGGCGACAGTATACAGCCTTGCCGGACTCCTTTCCCAATTTTGAACCAATCCGTGGTTCCGTGTCCAGTTCTCCCTGTTGCTTCTTGACCCGCATATAGGTTTCTCAAGAGACAAATAAGATGGTCTGGTACTCCCATCTCTTTAAGAACTTGCCCCAGTTTGTTGTGATCCACGCAATCAAAGGCTTTAGCATAGTCAAGCTTGGTTAGCCAATGAAAATCAGACAACAGGGTTATTACAATATAAGGAAGAGATCAACCATTCCTGCACACTCCCTTATTCCTTCCTCCAGTACATCCCATCCAGGTACATGTTTTCCCACGCTTGCAGGAAATATGTCCCTGACGCAAACGCTGATTACAAAAGCGAGATGGCAATAGTTAGGCAAGGCTACACAATTTGTTTCTTTTTCTAGCTCCAGTTACAGAATCCTACAGGCTCAATTGTCGTCGTAAGTCAAGGCTGTACGATCTTCTTACAGTGTTTCTCAACCTTGACAACTTTAAGGCATGTGGACTTCAACTCCCAGAATTCCACAGCCAGCATTGCTGGCTGTGGAATTCTGGGAGTTGAAGTCCACATGCCTTAAAATTGTCAAGGTTGAGAAACACTGTGGACTAACACCTTAACTCTGCTGTAAAGCGCATTTGTTCCTTACATCCTCCGCTGTAGCATAGCTGTTTAAACATTTTGAGGTTTGCACATTTCAGCAGGACATAATTTACATATATGAAGTTGTCTCTCTTTTTTTTTATGAGCCAGAAAGAGGGCTGAGAAAATATCTATGGACTCTTCACATCCTGGACATAAACTGTTTCAACTTCTCCCCTCTGGATGCTGCTGCAGGGCCTTGCATGCCCATTCCGTTCAACCCATTCCATTCCACTCCTTTCCACTCCTCCACTCTAGTCCATTCCACTCCACTCCACTCCACTCCATTTTATTCCATTCTGTTCCATTCCACTCCACTCTCCACTCCACTCCACTCTCCACTCTACTCCACTCCATTCCAGTCCAGTCCAGTCCATTCCAGTCCGTTGCCCCCCTCCACTCCACTCCATTCCATTCAACTCCGTTCCATTGCACTCCATTCTATTCCACTCTTTTCCACTCCTCCACTCCACTCCATTCCACTCCATTCTTTTCAACTCCATTCCATCCCACTCCTTTCCACTCCTCCACTCCACTCCATTCCATTCCACTCCACTCCACTCCATTTTATTCCATTCTGTTCCATTCCACTCCATTCCACTCCACTCCACTCCACTCCACTCCATTTTATTCCATTCCATTCCATTCACTCTCCACTCCACTCCACTCCACTCCACTCCATTCCACTCCTTTCCACTCCTCCACTCCATTCCATTCCACTCCACTCCATTTTATTCCATTCCACTCCACTCTCCGCTCCACTGTCCACTCCACTCCATTCCATTTCAGTCCACTCCATTTTATTCCATTCCACTCCACTCTCCACTCCACTGTCCACTCCACTCCACTCCACTCCATTCCATTCCATTCCATTTCAGTCCATTGCACCCCTCCACTCCACTCTATTCCATTGCACTCCATTCCACTCCACTCTCCACTCCACTCCACTCTTCCTATTCCTATTCCTACCCCATCCCATCCTATTCCATTCTGTTGATCGTCTTGACAATCCTCGGGTGTGGGCAGTGACAGAAATCTTACTTTGGCAGCCCGGGTGTTACAAGAGCTTCTCTCTCTCTCTCCACCAGCTCCCTGAAGTACAACGCCAATGAGATCGACCTGCAGATCATGTCCAAAAACGTTAACAAGACCCAGTGCTTGTATCTTGTGGAATGGATCATCATTGACCTGGAAGGATTCACAAGTAACAAATGCTCGCAGCCTGCTACGTCTTTCACATCACACAAGCCATGGTCGGCTTAGGTCTGGTTGGCAAGTGCAGCCACAATAGGCCGGATCGTATAAGCTTTAACCCGAGGTTTTCAAGTCATAGGAACGGGATTCAAACAACGTCCTTAGCTGAATTCCCACAAGCCACAAGTGGGTTGGTGGGTCACAAGATGAGCCAGGATTTGGGGGTCCAAGCAATGTGTGGTTTGTTATGATGTATATGTTATTACTTGTTCAAGCACATCCTGGCCTTTCTGTCATTTGAACCTTCAAGGCATTCATGGAGTGGGACTGACACCTGAAGATGTCGGCTGCGACTGTGTGATCAAATCCCACTACATACACATACACATACGCATACACATATGCATATGCATGTGCACATACTGTCATGGTTCCGACAGATGAAACTCTTCAAAGAATTTCGAGGCATTGTTTACCTCAAAGAATCTTTTATTCGAGTAGCATAATATCGGTACTAACACAATCAAAGCCAAAAACTGGATTCCCCTCCCCTGAGCACTTAGTATCAAAGCACAATTCCCTCCTTCAATTAACAGTCATAAATCACATTCCCCAATTAGTTTGAAATGCAGGCTCTCCCTCCAGCTCTCCAGCTCACTAATTCTTATCATCTCTCATTTCAACAACCTTGATTCTCACGCTAGGTTCAGTATTGTTATGTCTAGCTGAACTCTCATGCACATTCCCCCCCTCCCCAGCATCATCTAACTCAGTGGTTCTCAACCTTTTTAATGCCGCGACCCCAACCGGTTGTAAGTCGAGGACTAAACCGGTCGTAAGTCGAGGACTAAACCGGTCGTAAGTCGAGGACTACCCAACTGGTCGTAAGTCGAGGACTTTCCCTGCCCGGGAGCGCCGCGCATGCGCGGTTCCGCCCCCTGCGCCGGCCGAGGCGTAGCTGGCAAGTGGCAGAGATGGAGCAGGCCGACCACCAGCTGGCCCAGCCCAAGGGAGGTAAGGCACCCGCCAAAAAAGGGGAAAAAATGGCGGACAAAAAAATGGCGGACAAAAAAAATGGCAGACAGCCTTGCTTGGCGACCCCCGTGAAATGGTCGATCGACCCCAAATGGGGTCCCGACCCACAGGTTGAGAACCACTGATCTAACTCTAAAAGCGAAAATAAGGAAATGGCTACATCTCCCATCTGTTGTCAAAGCCAAAACATCCGATGTTTGCAGTGTTGACACATACGTAAACACATACACATACATATACATATGCATATACAGTACATATACATATGCATACGCATATACATGTATACACACAGAGATTTTAAAGAATGACATACAAATGTTGAGAGAAAGTAAGGAAAAGTAATGTGAAAAAGAAAGAAAAAGAGAAAAAGGAAAAAAGGGGAGAGGGAGATGAAAAGGAGGGGAGAGGCAGGAGCAGAGGAGGCCAGAGGGAGAGAGGGAGAGGAACATGAGGGGAGGGGAGAGGGGGAGAGGAGGCAAAGGCAGAAGAGGGGAGGCAGAGGAGGAGAGAGGGAGAGGGAAATGATATGGAGGGGAGGAGAAGGAGAGAGGGGAGGCAGAGGAGGGCAGAGGGAGAGAGGAAGAGGGAGGCAGAAGAGGGAAGAGGGAAAGAGGGAGACGAGGGGAAAGGAGGAGGGAGAAGAAGAGATGAGGGAGATGAGATGGAACGAAGGGGAGAGACAAAGAAGGGGAGAGGGAGAGAGGAAGAGGGAGGCAGAAGGGGAGGGAGAAGGAAAGAGAGGAGAGGGAGAGAGGAGAGGGAGAGGAGAGAGAGAGGAGAGGGAGAGAGAGGAGAGGGAAAGGAGAGGGAGAGAGGAGAGGGAGAGGGGAGAGGAGAGGAGGGAGCGAGAAGAGAGGGAGAGAGAGGAGAGGGAGAGGAGAGGGGAGACAAAGTGTTTTCTCTCTCTCTTTTCTCTTTTCTATCTCTTCCGTCTCTTCCCTTTCTCCCTTCTCTCTTTTCTGTCCTCTCTCTCTCTCTCTTCTCCTCTCTTCTTTCCTCTCTCTCTCTCTCTCTCTCTCTCTCTCTCTCTCTCTCTTTCTCTCTCTCTCTCTCTCTCTCTCTCTTTCTCCTCCTCCCTCCCTCCTTCCCCCCCACTCTCTCTCCCACAATCAGCGAATGGCGAATGGGATATTGTTCACCGGCCGGCTCGTAAGAACATCAACCCGCTTGTCCCGCGAGACAGCAACAAACACCAGGACATCACCTTCTACCTCATCATTAAGCGCAAGCCTCTCTTTTACGTCATCAACATAGTCACCCCCTGCATCCTTATCGCCTTCATGACCATCCTTGTCTTCTACCTGCCGGCTGATAGTAAGTGCTCATTCTCCTAGCATCCTAGGCTTCCTGCTGATGTTCACTTAGGCCAGGGTTAGGCAACCTGGGCTTTTTTTTATGACTCGTGGACTTCAACTCCCAGAATTCCTGAGTCAGCTACTCTGAGGGGAAAGGGAGAGGTTTCCAAGCTGAGCCATGCTGGCTCAGGAATTCTGGGAGTTGAAGTCCAGGTATGGTGGCTGGGGGATTCTGGGAGTTAAAGTCCACACAGGCTGGCTGGGGGTCAAAGTCCATGCATGCTGGCTGGGGTATTCTGGGAGTTATGCTGGCTGAGGAATTCTGGGAGTTGAAGTCCATGCATGCTGGCTGGGAGATTCTGGGAATTGAAGTCCACACATCTTCAAGTTGCTAAGATTGAGAAGCAGTGGCCTGGGCCAGGGGTAGGCAACCTCGGCTCTTTTATGACTTGTGGACTTCAACTCCCAGAATTCCTGAGCCAGCCACGCTGAGGGGAAAGGCAGAGGTTTCCAAGCTGAGCCAGGCTGGCTCAGGAATTCTGGGAGTTGAAATCCACGAGTCATAAAAGGGGCCATAGTTCCCCCATGCTGGCTCAGGAATTCTGGGAGTTGAAGTCCACGAGTCATAAAAGAGCCCAGGTTTCCTACCCCTGACTTAGGCCTATTTCTTTACGGGTAGTCCTTGACTTACAGCAGTTGGTTTAGTGACTGTCCAAATTTACAACGGCACTGAAAAAAGAGACTTACGACCATTTTTCATACTTATGTCCAATGCACCATCCCTACGGTCAGGTGATCAAAATTCAGACGCTTGGCGGCTGACTCGTATTTACGACCATTGCTGGGTCCCAAGCTCATGTGGTCCCCTTTTGCGACCCTCAAAGCTGGATTTACTTAACAACGGTGTTGTTGACTTAAGAACGGCAGCAACTGTGGCCAGGAAGGTCGTAAAATGGGGCAAAGCTCCCTTAACAGTGGTCTGGTTTAGCACCAGAAATGTTGGGGCCCATTGCGGTCGTATGTTGAGGACTCTCCCTGTATTGATTAAATTGATGAAAGATGTTGGACAGCTGACGGGAATCCGAAGGAGGCGGGGTGTGGGTTTATTCCCAAGAGGCAGTAAATCTAGGAAACGAGGAGGTGTCAGAAATTTTGTGTGAATGTTCTGAGGTTCTCTTCATGTTTTCCAGGTGGGGAGAAGGTGACCTTGGCAATCTCCATCCTCTTGGCTCAGTCTGTGTTTCTGCTGCTGATTTCTCAGCGTCTCCCGGCCACCTCCTTCGCCGTTCCCCTCATCGGCAAGTAAGTCTCCCCAATCTATATAAATAAAAATGTAAATGTTCGTTTGTTCAAAATCTTAAATCTCCGAAAGTTCTTCACCGATTGCTTTGAAATTTTGACACAACGTTGCATTCGAATACGCACGTGTTTTTATATACCTACTATTATATAGATGTCACACCTGTGACAGGTAAAAACATGCTTTTTTTGAAAAACAGCACCATCTGTTGGACGTAAAAGCAACACACGCTTTTACCAGACTGAGCCACAGCAACGCGTGGCCGGGGTCTTAAATAAAAAAATCCCTAAATTGGGTTTTTTTGATTGCAACGGCCATTGTTTCCTGACTGGAGAAGTGAGAGGATTTGGCTTAGCAATTTGAATCCAGGAATGAGTGGTGACATAGCAATCTGTATCAAATGTGTGGACAGATCAAACCTATCGATCTGTGGACTTCAGCTCCCAGAATTCCCCAGCCAGCCATGCTGGCTGGGGAATTCTGGGAGTTGAAGTCCACACATCTTCAAGTTGCTAAGGTAGAGAAACGCTGGTTTGATTGATAGGTTACCCTACATTCCTGGATTCAAGTTGGCCTATACAGTGGTCCCTTTGAAGGAGAATATTTGCAGCTCAGGGTTGACATGAGGGGCCCTTGGTGCTCTCCGAGCTGGCTTGTTTTCTTGCAGACGTTTCATTACCCAACTAGGGAACACCATCAGGGCTAGAAGGGATGAGGTTTGCGGAGTGAGGAGGAGGAGGAGGAGGAGGAGAGAAAAAGAGAAAGGATTGTGGGGTCCTTGATGCTTTCTGAGTTTGCTTGTTTTCTTGCAGACGTTTCATTACCCAACTAGGGAACATCATCAGTGCTAGAAAGGATGAGGTTTGCGGAGTGGGGAGAAGGAGGAGGAGGAGGAGGAGGAGGAGGAGGAGGAGGAGGAGGAGGAGGAGAGAAAGGATTGTGGGGTCCTTGGTGCTCTCTGAGCTTGCTTGTTTTCTTGCAGACGTTTCATTGCCCAACTAGGGAGCATCATCAGTGCTAGTAAGGTGTGCTTTTTTGCTGTCAGTTTATATTCTGGTGTCTTGCCTGTCTTAGGGATTCTTTGGCTGGGCTGTTTACTGTTGGCTCTGTGCCAGTTTCTTGATTGGGGTATTGCTTACTTGATTGTTGGAGTTAATCCAGTGGTGGGATTCAAATAGGTGAACAACCGGTTCTCTGCGTGGATGCCACTTCCGGAAGTCCATTCTGGACCTGGGCAACAAAAAATTAGCTACCGGTTTTGTTGTAGTGGTGCGAACTGGCTAATTCCTGGTGGAGAGATGCTGGAGTCTTTTTCCCTTTTGGGTTGGTTGTCTCTTTTGCATAGTCTGTAGATGTTGTTAATGTCTACGCGTCTATTGATGTCTGATTTGTCAGAGTGCCAGGCTTCTAGAAATTCCCTGGCGTTTTTGGGCTTGGCCCGGTCTAGGATGATCACATGTTCCCAATTGAAACTATGGTTAAATCTGTCTACATGTAATAATAATAATAATAACAACAACAACAACAATAATAATAATAAAAATAAAAAGATGGAAGGGACCTTGGAGGTCATCTAGTCCAACCCCTGCTCAGGCAGGAAACCATTTCAGACAAATGGCTGTCCAGTCTCTTCTTAAAAACTTCCAGTGTTGGCGCATTCACAGCTTTTGGAGGCAGGTTGTTCCACTGGTTAATTGTTCTCACTGTCAGGAAGTTTCTCCTTAGTTCTAGGTTGCTTCTCTCCTTGATGAGTTTCCACCCGTTGCTTTTTTTTCTGCCTTCAGGCGCTTTGGAGAATAGCTTGACTCCCTCTTCTTTGGGGCAGCCCCTGAGATATTGGAACCCTGCTATCATGTCCCCCCTGGTCCTTCTCTTCATTAAACTAGACATATCCAATTCCAGCATCCGTTCCTTGTATGTTTTAGCCTCCAGTCCCAGTACATGTGATGAAATTAAAGAATTTTCGTCAGGCCTTCTGACTGCCAGTTGGTGTTCATGGATGCGTTCTGCCAGTCTGCACCCTGTAGCAGTTGCTGCACTTCTGACATTGTATGTTGTAGAATGGCTCCTGTTTTTTCTTCTGGGGTTGCTGGTTTTGAAGTTTAGTTGGTTTGTGTATTGTGTGACAGTGGTCCATCTCCCTCTTTTTTCCCATCATAACCCTGTGGGGGTAGGCTGGTCTGAAAGAATGCAACTGGCTGAAAGTCTATGCCCAAGGCTGGATTCGAATCTGTTTCTCCTTAGTGCCAATTCAACATCTTCATTACTGCCCCATACAGGTAGTCCTCAACTTACAACCATTCGTTTAACAACGATTCAAAGTGACGCCAGCAATGGGAAAAGTGTCTTAGGACCGGTCCTCGCACTTACGACATTGCAGCGTCCCCACCGTCCACGTGATCAAAATTCAAAAGCTTGGCAATTGACATGTACTTATGACGGCTGCAGCCTTCCAAGATCATGGGATTGCCCCTTGCAATCGTCCCTTGTGGCCTTGTGGCCAGCAAAATCAAGGGGAGAAGCTGGATTTGCTTAAAAACCGCGGCAAAAAAAGGTTGCAAAATTGAGCGTGACTCCCTTAATGACCGCACCACTTAGCGACAGAAGTGCTGATCTCAATTGTCGCAAGTGGAGAACGGTCTGTACAGACTTTAGCGTTCTGAGCCCCGCCTCCTATGACATCATATATATCTCATGACATTATTTGGCATGATTGTGGAAGGAAAAGTCTTCATCAGGGTCCAGTCCAAGCCGGGAATAAACGAAATGGAGACTGCTTTAGAAAGAAGGTTGCAGTTTAATTGAAGAGGAGAACCAGACAGAAAGGTGGCTATGGAAGAAAAGAGGGAGAGCACATGTAGTAGGAGTGGGTTTTTATACCCTCTTGGGCTTTTGTTTGGAGTTGCTTCCTGTTCCTGTTTGAGGCTTTGTATTTCCTGTGTCATGTACTTTGACCTGAGTCTGAGTGTGCCCCTTTGGCATCTGTGGGTTAATCCTATTATGTCCTGTCTTAGAGTTTGGGTGGGGTATGTAGATTTTAGGTGTCTTTGTCTTCCTAAGCTTCTAGCTGGAGGCCTCCAACCTTCCTGAATGAATTATTCACATCTGCATTTCTACAGAGCTGGTTTCTGCTTGAGGGAGAGAGACTTGGGGCTATTAAGAAAAACTGGGCATGCTTTAAGAAACTTTGAGAAAATATGATATTCTGCCCTTTTAATATTTCTTCTCTGGGCGGGGGCTGACTTCCCACATGATGATGTCATAACCCAGGCATTGAATGACCCAGCAGACGCTTCTGGACTCTTTCGAGATCCTTCAGAGGGAAACAGGAAGCAGGAAATAAACATCTGAAAAAAATTAGCCTTGACTTTATAAATGGTCATGTCTACTGCCAATAGGTACCTGCTGTTCGTCATGCTTCTCGTGACCGCGGTCGTGGTGGCGTGCACCGTGGAGCTCAACTTGCATTTTCGGACCCCCAGCACCCATGTCTTGTCTGAATGGACAAAAGAGGTAAGCCGGAAGGAACAATTCAATGTATAGAATTTTTAAGAAGAGGTTAGACCAGAGGTAGGCAACCTTGGCTCTTTTATGACTCGTGGACTTGAACTCCCAGAATTTCTGAGCCAGCATGGGGCAACTATGGCCCCTTCATGACTGGTGGACTTCAACTCCCAGAATTCCTGAGCCGGCATGGCTCAGCTTGGAAACCTCTCCCTTTCCCCTCAGCATGGCTGGCTAAGGAATTCTGGGAGTTGAAGTCCACGAGTCATAAAAGAGCCCAGGTTGCCTACCCCTGGGCTAGACAGTCGTTTGTCTGAGATGACATACTGTAGGTTCTCCTGCTTGGGCAGGGGGCTGGACTAGAAGACCTCCAAGGGCCCGTTCCAACTCTATTCCATTCTAAACAGTTCATTTAGTGACCCTTCAAAGTTACAACGACTTATGATGGATTTTCACACTTACAACCAGTGATCGCTTAATAATTGTGGCAAGAAAGATCGTAGGACAGGGCAAAACTTCGGCACTTAGATGGGGGCACCATCAGGAGATCTTTAAGCTCCTGGCCAGAGTGGGAAGTTGAAAATCACTTTTCTTTCTTCTTTGATCCGCAGTTCTTTCTTGACACCCTTCCTCGCCTCCTGCACATGTCCAAGCCGGCCGAGAGTGACCCCACGCCGCAGGGCAGCTTCGTGATCCGGCGTTCTAGCTCCGTCGGTTACATCGTCAAGGCAGAGGAATATTTCACCATTAAGTCCCGCAGTGAGCTCATGTTTGAGAAGCAGTCGGAGAGACACGGCCTAACTAGCCGGATTACCCCTGCACGTAAGGCTGAAAGAGCGATGGGAATGGAGGGGAGGAGGGTCCAGTGGTTATGGTTCAGTTTTCATGTCTGATGGCAGCATGGACACCACTGAAAACTTCTCTAATCCAGTATCATCTGATGACTTTTAAAGGCCCTGGTTCATAACCTGCATGGATACTATTGTCAAGGATGAAAGCGTGGCAGCTACGTGCCACCTTTAGATTAAGGGGGGAGGTGTTACTTTCAAGTGGGTTAGATCAAAGGTCCCCAACCTTTTGGGCACCAGGGTCTGTTTCTGTGGAGAGAGGTTTTTCCACGGACTGGAGAGTGCGTGGTTTTGTGTGCTAACTGCATCCCGTGGATGGGGCTTTGCTAATTTGTGCGGCCCACTTGCTGGCATGCCACGGCCTGGTACCAGTCCACAAACCGGGTCTTGGAGACTCCTGGGTTAGATAGAGGAATGAACCTTCTACAATTCAGCTGAAAACCGTGAGAGCCTGAAACCTTTTCAAGGACACCAGAACAGGTGTGGATTTGAAGCAGACAGTCCACGGACTGGCACCAGTCTGTGGCATGTCAGAAACTGGGCCACCTAAACAAGCAAAGCCCCGTCTGCAGGATGCAGACAGCACGCGAAACCACAGCCCCTCCGGTCCGTGGAAAAAACTTTCTCCACAGAACCAGTCCCTGGTGCCCAAAAGGTTGGGACCTGCTGCTCTAAGCTGTTTACAGAGTCAGCCTATTGCCCCCAACAATCTGGGTCCGCGTTTTACCAACCTCGGCAAGGTGGAGGGCTGAGTCAACTTTGAGCCGGTCAGAATCGAACTGCTGACAGTCGGCAGAATTCGCCTGCAATACTACATTCTAACCACTGCGCCACCAGGGCTCTTCTATTGCAGCTCTCTAGAACTGTATAGTTCTCCCAACCTAGATCTCCTCGGCCCTGAATTACAGCTTCCTTCTTTTCTCCCCCCCCCTTTCCAGGACCAAACCCCCACGGCACAGGTGATTTGCAGGATCAGCTTTACAAAGAGATCAAGCCAGCCATTGCTGGAGCCAACTTCATCGTGAAACACATGCAGGAGAAGAACAGCTATAATGAGGTAGGTGTGCAAATCCATCTCAAATCCTTCAAATATCTTTGCTTCTTCAGACTCTCAAAACCCCGGTGATGCTCTGCTAACTTGGTGCAGAAGAGAAATTAATTCTGACTGTGATTGAGAACCAGTTTTCCCAACCGGGGTGTTTGCAGTAGTGAAGCTAATGGGCTGTTCAGGAAGCTGGTCTCTTAGGACCTCTGTAGAACATTCAGCTGAGGATGGTCTTCCTTAGTGACGGGTAGTCCTCGACTTACAACAGTTTTGTCAAGGATGAAACTTTGGCAGCTATGTGCCTTTGCATTTCATCTTGCCTTTAGATTGGGGGGGGGGGATGTTACTTTCAAGTGGGTTAAATGGAGAAACGAAATCTCTTCGATTCAGCTGAAGACCGTGAGAGCCTGAAGTCTTGTCAAGGACACCAGAACAGGTGTGGATTTGAAGCAGACGGTTCCCCTAACAAAGTGAACTTGTTTATATGGACTAACATTAGAATTTGGGGGGTTGGCTGGGGAAATAATGGTTTAAGTCTATGAATTGGGGTTGGAACTTCAGAGTAAGTTTTCCTTCGATATTACTGCTATGCAGCGGATTCAATAAACAGTAAGTCGGCTGAGGAATTCTGGGAGTTGAAGTCCACAAATCTTACTAGACTCTTCCTGAAGTGATGTTGGCTGAGCACAGCTTTGGAGTGGCTTTGAGGTGCATGAAAGACTTTGACCTTTTCCCAATCCTATTATTTTATCCTTGCAGGAAAAGGACAACTGGAATTGTGTTGCTCGGACCGTGGACCGCCTCTGCCTCTTCTTGGTGACTCCCATCCTGAGCCTTGGAACCTTGTGGATCTTCTTGGTGGGAATATACAACCACCCTCCCCCCCTGCCCTTTGAGGGCGATCCTTATGACTACAATGAGAATAACAAGCATTTTATTTAAAGCCAAAGAGTGCCCTGCTCAGAGCATCACCACCCCTGATCAGAAGCACAGCTGGCTGATTCGGTGTAGCATGACGGAAGATGATATTGGTCCTCACCCCAAATATCCAGAGAGTTGTGTTTCCTTAATTTACTTCTCTTATTTCTGATTTTTGTTGTAATTTTAACTCCCAAGTTTCTCAACCTTAAGATACTTTAACACAGGGGTCCCCAACCTCCGGTTTGTGGACCGGTACCGAGCCGCGGCATGCCAGCAACCGGTCCACACAAACAAGCAAAGCCCCATCCACGGGATGCAAGGCAGCACACAAAAACCACGCACTCTCCGGTCCATGGAAAAACCTCTCTCCACGGAACCGGTCCGCAGTGCCCAAAAGGTTGGGGACCTCTGCTCTAAGACATTTGGACTTCAACTCCCAGAATTCTATGCTGCCTGGGGAATTCTGGGAGTTGAAGTCCAGACATTGTAAAGTTGCCACGGATGAGAAACATGGTCCTAGAGTTTCATAAAGGCTGTTTCCCAAGGGTGTTTGGGGAAATCTGGGAAGGCTAACAGGTTTTTTTTCTTTTGGGTTGTTTTTTTCTGAGGATATTGATGATATTCTATTTTAAAAAGGTAGTTTATTCATCTTAGCAAGTTTGGACAATGTCATCATTGATTCCTGCACAGGGGTAGTACAGAATCTTTCCCCCTTTGTGCATAAATCTTGTTGTGCATAAATCTTGTTGCAGTACTACTAATAAATTATATATATATATATATTATAATAATGCTGGGCTGCATTAACAGAAGGATAGAATCAAGATCACGTGAAGTATTAATACCACTTTACAAAGGCCACACTTGGAATACTGCATTCAGTTTTGGTCACCACGATGTAAAAAAGATGTTGAGACTCTAGAAAGAGTACAGAGAAGAGTAACAAAGATGATTAGGGAACTGGAGGCTAAAACATACAAGGAATGGTTGCTGGAATTGGGTATGTCTAGTTTAATGAAGAGAAGGACGAGGGGGGACAGGATAGCAGTCTTCTAATCTCTCAGGGGCTGCCCCCCAAAAGAGGGAGTCAAGCTATTCTTCAAAGCCCCTGAAGGCAGGACAAGAAGCAACAAATGGAAACTCATCAAGGAGAGAAGCAACCTAGAACTAAGGAGAAACTTCCTGACAGAACAATTAACCAGTGGAACTCCTTGCCTCCAGAAGCGGTGAATGCTCCAACACTGGAAGTTTTTAAGAAGGGATTGGACAGCCATTTGTCCGAAATGGTGTAGGGTTTCCTGCCTGAGCAGGGGGTTGGACCCAATGACCTCCAAGGTCCCTTCCAACTTTATTATTATTATTATTATTATTATTATTATTATTATTATTATTATTATTATTATTATTATTATTATTATTATTATTATTATTATTATTATTATTATTATAATATACTGAAATAATTTTCCATGGCTTTTTTCTAACTATGTATCTATCGGTGAGTCTTGCCCCATTTTACGAGTTTTCTTGCCACAGTCGTTAAATAAATCATTGCATTGGTTAAGTTACTAACACCGTTGTTAAATGAATCTGGCTTCCCCATTGACTTTGCTTGTCAGGAGGTCGCAAAAGGGGATCACGTGACCCCGGGGAACACTGCGACCGTCACAAATACGAGTCAGTGGCCAAGCCTCTGAATTTTGTTCACGCGACCCTGGGGAATGCTGCAAGAGTCGTGAGTGTGAAACCAGCCATAAGTCGCTTTTTTCAAGGCTGTTGTAATTTCAAACGGTCATTAAACGAACTGTTGTAAGATGAGGACTACCTGCGTTAATCTTCAAAATCCTTTGTGTGACTTTGAATCCATTTTTAAAAACTTTTTGACACGTCCATCACGCATGATAAAATGTCTCTCCGCGTTGTTCACATTCCCAACATATATTTGAAGTGCCTTTATACGTTCTAGATAATTTCTCCGTCTCCTGTGCCAACAATAGAATTGTAAATCACCCAGAATAATTTGGTTGAATTGGGTGGCTTTAGAAATGGGATAAATAAATATGTTTCCAAACTTGGCAACTTTAAGATGGGTGGGCTTCAATTCCCTGGCACTAAGGCATATAGAATAGAATAGGATAGGATATAGGATATAGGGTATAGAATAGAATAGAATAGAATAGAATAGAATAGAATAGAATATAGGATATAGGATAGAATAGAATAGGCAATAGGATGTAGAATAGAATAAAATAGAATAGGCATTAGGATATAGAATAGAATACAATAGAATAGAATAGTATAGTAACTAGAATAGAATAGAATAGAATAGAATAGAATAGAATAGGATATAGGATATAGGATAGAATAGAATAGAATAGAATAGAACAGAATAGTAATTAGAATAGAATAGAATAGAATAGAATAGAATAGAATAGAATAGAATAGAATAGAATAGCACAATATATGATTTTACAGAAAAATTCTCTTTAAGATCACAAGATAATGGACATTTCAACCCCCTTGACCACACATTTTCCATCAATCAGAATAGAGTTGGAAGGGACCTTGGAGGTCTTCTAGTCCAACCACCGCTCAAGCAGGAGAACCTATACAGTCTTTCCTTAGTTGGCTCAGGAATTCTGGGAGTTGAAGTCCACAAGTCATAAAAGAGCCAAGGTTGACTACCCCTGCTCTAGATTGTTGTTGTCTTTAATTGCGAAGTCGTGTCCGACCCATCGCGACCCCATGGACAACGTTCCTCCAGGCCTTCCTGTCCTCTAGATTAGCCATACCCAAATCCTGCAACTGTTCCAATATTTAACGGGCTGTCCCCGAGAAGGGGCAGGTTCAACCGGTTCTCCAAAGCATCTGAAGGCAGGACAAGAAGCAATGGATGGAAATTAATCAAGGAGAGAAGCAACCTGGAACTAAGGAGAAATTTCCTGATAGTGAGGACAATTAACCAGTTGAACCAGGTTCCCTCCAGAAATTATGGATGTTCCAACACTAGACGACTTTAAGAAGAGACTGCACAGCTATTTGTCTGAAATGGTGTAAGGCAGGGGTCTTCAAACTTGGCCCTTTTATGACTTGTGGACTTCAACTCCCAGAATTCCTCGTGCCTGGCTGAGGAATTCTGGGAGTTGAAGTCCACAAGTCATAAAAGGGCCAAGTTTGAAGACCCCTGTCTTAAATCTAACAAACAAAACGGAGGCTGGCTGAGGAATTCTGGGAGTTGAAGTCCACAAGTCATAAAAGGGCAAAGTTTGAAGACCCCTGGTGTAAGGTCTCCTACTTGAGCAGGACATTGGACACGAAGACCTCCAAGGTCCCTCCCAACTCTGTTATTCTGTTAAAACCCCCAGAATTCATTACCCAGCAGGAATTCTGGGAGTTGAAGTCCACAAGTCTGAAAAGTGGCCATGTTTGGAGAGCCCCTGCTATAAACTGTTGGGAGCCCTGGGCTTATTTTTAATACTAGGGGCTGGGCATACCTCCCGCCAGCTGTTGTGCCAGCTGTCGTGTGGAAATAAGGCCAGGAGGTCAGATGTCAGGCAGAGGTACTCAAACCCATCAGGAAACAGCTCTCCCAGGACAGATCCCATTACATAGGAAGCAGCTGAAGCTCCCTGGCTGAGAATTCAAAGCCTCAGGCTGAGATTATGGGGGAGACAGCTGCAGCCTGAGCGTTTATGGGAGGGGAGAAAAGATAAAAAATGCCACTTTGACTGTTATTACGAGCTGCCTAAATACATACCCACAGATACATCACCGAACATTTAATCAGTGGACCGAGTAGCTCTCTGGAACTAAGGAGAAATTTCCTGATAATGAGGACAATTAACCAGTTGAACAGGTTCCGTCCAGCAATTGTGGAGGTTTTTAAGAAGAGATTGGACAACAATTTGTCTGAAATGGTATAAGGCCATGGTGGCGAACCTACAGCACGGGTGCCAGAGGCGGCACTCAGAGCCCTCTCTGTGGGCACACGCACCGTCGCCCCAGTCCTAGGCCTTCAGCTGGGTTTTATAAAACCTTTTCGCTTTAGGCCTCCGCCGCCGTGTGCAAAAAAAAAAAAAAAAGGTTCAATCAGTCAATTTCAACTTCTCGCGGGGAAAAAAAAAGATCTCGCAAAGTTGGAATTGCTTGATTGAACTTTTTAGTCCCACCCAGTCTGCCCTTACCACCTCAGCCACACCCAGCCAATGGGCCACACCCAGCCAAAGGGCCACACCCAGCCAATGGGCCACACCCACCCGGCACCCGACAATGCATAAGTGGGTTTTGGGTTGTAGTTTGGGCACTCGGTCTCTAAAAGGTTTACCATCAATAGTGTAGGGTTTCCTGCTTGAGCAGGGGGTTGGACTAGAAGACCTCCAAGGTCCCTTCCAACTCTGTTATTCTGTCTTTGTTGTGAGTAGATGGGTGACCAACAAGACTGAACGAAATTCCAAAAATATGAAATCCAACGGTGATTTTACACTTAGGCAAGAAAAACCAAACGCACAGGTGCAGAAGAGGGGGTACCTGAGACTCAATAGCAGTAACTACGAGACAGATCTAGGAGTCCTAGTGCAGGGGTCCCCAACCCCCGGGCCTTGGACTGGTACCGGGCCGTAGCATGCCAGCAACCGGTCCACACAAATAAGCAAAGCCCCATCCGTGGGATGCAGACAGCACACAAAACCATGCACACTCCAGTCCGCGGAAAAACCTTTCTCCATGGGACCGGTCCCTGGGTGCCCAAAAAGTTGGGGACCTCTGTTCTAGTGGACAATCACTTAAAAATGAGCCAGCCGTGTGTTGCAGCTGCTCCAAAAAAAAGCCAATGAAATCCTAGACTGCGTTAACAGAGGGATAGAATTAAGATCAGGTGAAGTGTTAATACTGCTTTACAATGCCTTGGTAAGGCCACACTTGGAATACGGCATCCAGTTTTGGTCACCACAATACAAAAAAAAAAATTGAGATTCTGGGTAGTGTGCAGAGAAGAGCAACAAAGATGATCGGGGGACTGGAGG